AGTTCTTACTGTCTCCCTGGGAAATAAGTTGAAGAGGGGAGGATGATGAGGAAGGTTCATATTTGTCCATCCTACACTTCTGTAGGTACTGCTGATATTTTTACGCTAACCATAGATTGTTTATATAATGAAGACAGAGAATCTGTGCATTGAGTCACTGAGAAGGAAGGTTGTAGGGAGGAGATGATGGGTCATGGTATAAGGAAACTGATATGGACTAAAGCCTTATCGGTCCCATATAAGTTTTATTTGTTTATAGATCCTTAGTCATGAGTGTTAGATGTGAAAAACAAGAAGTACAAGGCAATAACAATGGAGACTGAACTTGTATAAAAAGTTCTATGTATTTCTCCCTAAATGGCTTGAATATTCATCTCATCTTTTGGGAATGTGGAATAGAATTGTAAAGATGCTTGAGGTTAGAACTAAATCACTATTCATCGTATCTTTGCTGCTCCGCAAATGAAAGGCACTTGACATGAAAGGCCATTTAGTGGCTAGAGCCAAGAATGGAGACCCAGAGCTCCCAGCACTGGTTCCTGGCAGCCACTTTTGGCTGAGTGAACATGAGCCACTGAGGCTGTGCCCCACTATGTCCATCCGCAGGGGGAAATGACAGCCTTGTCTTACTGCCTGCTGAAGGCATGATTGTTTGGAAACAATTTGAGATCCGTACCAGAAAGACAATTTAATAGAAAGTATTTTAGTCAAAAACGTTGTTGTATAGAAGCCAGTCTTGACTTTTTGGGAGAAAAACCGTTTGCCTTGGGTGTGCATTGATTCAGGTGCTGTCCTGTGCTGAATCTTTGTATTGAATTGTTTTTTATCCATAAAACTGGATTTTATATACTTAGTACAATTTGGAGCTGTGTAACACAGGTAACTGTCAGTTTGCGTTTATCACATGCAGGCCTTAAAAGTAAATCCTTGTGCTCGTCTGATTCTCTGCTAAATCACCAAACTGCTGGAATACTTCAGTAAGATCCTGTCCCCATTCTGCTCCCCTTCTCACTACTGAGAACAGCTTCCCCTGTTTTCCCAAGTTCCTTCTCTCTTCTTCCTCCTCCATGACGTGTTACTCTGTCTCCCCACCACTCCCCCTGGGTGATGTGTTTCTCTCCTGCTTCCCCTGCCAGTTTCTCATGACTGGGAGGTGATTTTCGAGTTTTCTGGCTATTTCCCAGGCCACATCAGTGGTAGAGGCGGGTGTGACGGCAAAGGTGCAAAGGGCAGGTGATACTATCTTAAGTCTAAGCACAGGGTGAGAAGTCTTGCCCCCGACCTCAGGTTCACTCTTTTGGTGTTGGTCCTGACACTATCTGGGACCCCATGTGACCCTGCTGGGAGCCTGGTCCTAGAAGGAGCCCATCAAGTAGCCCTTCTTGACTTCTGTTCCGGGCCCTGCTCAGCATGAATGGTAAAAATAGGACCTGATGGCAAAAGTGTTCACTCATTTTTGAAATATGTATTTCAGATTACTTCTCTCTCCCTGTGGTCTGAAGGGTTTGCCTCTCGTAGATCAGTTTGGCACAGTAGCACTAAGCCAAAGTAGCACAATTAGCAATTTTATCATCAGCAAAACCAGAGAAGCAGCAGGAAAACCTCTTCAGGAACCATGCTTTGAAGCCGTGTGAGGGATTGGTGTTGGTGTCAGTTGTTAGTTTGAGGTTGGTTAAGAGCAGGTACCATTCGAGTTGGCAGGAACCAGCTTTGGTGCAATCCTTTGCCGCGTGTATCAACCCCTACGTGAAGCTGAACAGCAGACGCTGGGAAGCCTTGGCCCCAGACACAGCCCAGTGCAACCAACCAAGGGGTCACACAAGCTGCTCTCAGCTTTGGGTGCAGGCGCAGAGCCTGCGTTGGATGGGGCCTGCTGGGTGTCAGTGCAGCCGCATGGCAGGGCCAAGTCCATAGCCCTCCAATATAGTCAGGGGGGTGGGAGCCGAGCAGTTAAGTGTCTGTCCTCCCCCAGTGACCTTCGCTGTCACTGAGCTAGGTGATTCTGGATTTTTGTTTTTAATACTTATATACATTAATTCTGACTATATATAGTATTAACTATCTATTCTATTAATACAACCTCTTACAATTATTAAAAAAAAATTTTTTTTTTCTTCTGAGACAGTATCTTGCTCTGTTGCCCAGGCTGGAGTGCAGTGGCGTGATCTCGGCTCACTGCAACTCTGCCTCCTGGGTTCATGCCATTCTCCTGCCTCAGCCTCCTGAGTAGCTGGGACTACAGGTGCCTGCCACCATGCTCAGTTAACTTTTTTGTATTTTTAGTAGAGACGGGGTTTCACCGTGTTAGCCAGGATGGTCTTGATCTCCTGACCTCATGATCCACCCACCTCGGCCTCCCAAAGTGCTGGGATTACAGGTGTGACCCACCGCGCCCAGCCCAAATGTTTAATAGTATGTTTTTCTGTGTGTGTGTGTGTTTTTGTTTTGTTTTGTTTTGTTGAGGCAGGATCTCACTCTGTTGCCCAGGCTGGAGTTCAATGGCGCTATCATAGCTCACTGCAGCCTCAAACTCCAGGGCTCAATAAATCCTCCCACCTCAGCCTCCCAAGTAGTTGGGACTACAGGTGTGCACCACTACTCCCAGCTAATCTTTTTATTTTTATTTTGTAGAGACAGGGTGTCACTATGTTGCTCAGGATGGTCTTGAACTCCTGGCTTCAAGTGATCCTCTCACCTCAGCCTCCCAAAGTGCTGGGATTACAGGCATGAAGCACCCTGCCTAGCCTAATAGTACTTCAGTTGAGTAACTTTGTGCTGCTTTGTATGTATAAAATGGTTAACAATATAACAAAGACTGCAAATTTATTTAAGAGCAAAGTATTAGTTAACCCCTTTGAATTAAATTTTTAAACAGTTTACAAAAGTGACATTCTTATTGTATATATATTTTTCTTTTTCTTTTTTATATTTTGTTTTTTACTTTTTTTTAGTAAATTCTTACAGATCCTTATCTTGTTGTATATATTTTTTAAGTTACCACTATAAAAGTATATGTAATAAAAAGTGAAATTTCCACTCCAGTCTCCCATCTCTCCATAAAGAAATTGGAAACCACTGTATCTTCCCAGAACGTTTTCTGTAAATTCACAGATATGGCAGGAATGTGGAAAGGTGGATGTTTTATTTTTCAAACATAAATTGCATGATGCTATGTGTTTATCATACAACTAGCCTGCATTACTCATTGGACTTGGGCCTCTTTCCTTATCAGTACATATAGACCTACCTAATTCTTAAGACTGTCTACAATAATTATTTCACATTTTCATAATGGTGCATATATTAGTTGTTCTACAAATTCTTGCTATTACAAATAATGCTGTGGTGAGTATTCTTGCACATCTTCCAGTGAGTTTATGTACGAGCATGAGTGTTTAAGTTGTGCATATATGTGTGTGAATGTGCCTATTGTCACCATTGACAGCAGATGGACAAAATTCAGGGTGCTGAATGCTAGAGATATGACAGTGCTATGAAAAGATGACATTTTCAAACCATGTGCACGTCCACCCTTGGATTGACTAATGTTATTATTGCTAAGTGTGCATTATGGGATTTGAGTGAAGTTTTTCTGCACTGTAATTCCATAAGTTGATGCTTCAAAGAAGAGTTAAATTTGAGGTTAATGTCCTTTTAAAAAAACTCTTATTCCTTGGGCCAGGTGGCTCACGTCTGTAATCCCAGCTCTTTGGGAGGCCAAAGCAGGAACATCCCATGAGGCTAGGAGTTTGAGACCAGCCTGGGCAACATCGCAAGACCTTGTCTCTTAAAAATAAAAATAAACAAACAACAACAAAAATCCTTTTATTTCTCAACTGATTTCAAAGAAGTTCTGTGTATGTGGCTAGGGCGCATGTCTGTTTAAAGTAGGGCTGCTGGCTGCTGAGGAACTAGGAGAGGCCTCAGTTGTGGGAGCCAGGCAGTGTCCAGACAGCAGCTTCCTGCCGCAGGTGGGCTGGGCTGGGGTGGGCATCAGGATGGAAGACAGCTGACTCCTTTCTTTTTTCTTCTTTCTTTTTTTTGAGACAGAGTTTTACTCTTGTTGCCCAGACTAGAGTGCAATGGCACGATCTCGGTTCACTGCAACCTCCGCCTCCCAGGTTCAAGCAATTTTCCTGCCTCAGCCTCCTGAGTAGCTATGATTACAGGCGCCTGCCACTGCGCCTGGCTAATTTTTCATATTTTTAGTAGAGATGAGGTTTCACCGTGTTGGTCAGGCTGGTCTCGAACTCCTGACCTCAGGTGATCCCCCTAACACAGCCTTCCAGAGTGCTGGGATTACAGGTGTGAGCCATCATGCCCGACCTCAGCTGACTCCCCTCTCAGCCGCATTTGTGCGTGCAGCCATTTAGATATCGAAATAATATGTAAATGGATTTCATCCCAACTTAAATATGCTGTTTGTGCCCAGTTGTTAAAATTTTATTTATTTATTTATTTTTATTTTATTTATTTATTTGTTTTGAGATGGAGTCTTACTCCGTTGCCCAGGCTAGAGTGCAGTGGTGCAATCTTGGCTCACAGCAACCTCCCCCTCCTGGGTTCAAACAATTCTTCTGCCTCAGACTCCCGAGTAGCTGGGATTACAGGCATGCGCCACCATGCCCAGCTAATTTTTGTATTTTTGTAGAGACAGAGTTTTACCATATTGGCTAGGCTGATCTCGAACTCCTGACCTCAGGTGATCCTCCCACTTTGGCCTCCCAAAGTGCTGGGATTACAGCACCCAGCCCCCAGTTGGTAAAATTTTAATAATTAGCTTACTAACTAGTTTAAGCACATATTCGCAAGATATAGGATGTCTTGAACATACAGCTTTCTACTCCAAAAAGTACAGCATGTTTTTTTGGTTGAGAGTTTTATTTACTACAAAATCCAGGCGATTCATTCTCGATTTGGGGAGTGGGAAGTCCACTGCCCTGAGGCCTAACCTTGTAGAAGTTTTCCGTAATGACACTGCTTCTCATTTTCCTTCCCAGTGCTCGGCCTGGTTCTCCCCATGTGGGCCATAGCCCTCATTTCCTTTGGTGTCGCCCTCCTGTTCGCTTTCTTTGTGTGGCTCTTCGTATGTCCGTGGATGCGGAGGAAAATAACAGGTATGGGCTTTTTGATTCTTCTGATTTACAGAAATTCTCCTGATTTCCCAAACCTCACATGTAATACGCCATGATCCTTACTAATGGAGGAAGAGGAAGTGTGGGTGACTCCAGAACATACCCCATCCTCTGTCACTCGGTTCCTGAGTGCTTTCTGGCTCAGACATTTTCTTGATAAGTTGTAACCCAGGTGGGCAGTAAGGTCCCAGTTGCCATGAGTAACTGAAAGTTAACCGTGCAGTCCAGTTCTGCCAGCCTGTGGAAAAACGTTAGCCTTCATAGAAATGCAAATTAACACCACAAGGAGATTTGTTTCCCACCCACATGAATGGCTAAGAGTAAAAAGTTCTCACCATTCCGTATGTAGGTGAAGAAGTGAAATAATTGGAACTCTCCCAGGTTTATGCTGAAATGTAAAATGGTGCAACCACTTTGGAAGTTAGGTTTGCAGTTTCTTTATAAAGTTAAACTTACACTTACCATGTGGGCCAGTAATTTTACTCCTAGCTATTTATCCAAAGAAATGAAAACATGTGTTCATAAAAAAACTTGTACACAAATCTTTTCATCATAAAAGCCCAAAGTGGAAACAACCCATGTGTTGGTCAGCAGGCAAATGGGTAACCAAATTGAGTAAATTCATGGGATGGACGACCACGTAGCAATAGAGAGAATGAACTGCTGGGGACCCTACAGCAGAAGGCATCCCACAGCCGTGATACCGAGCAGAAGCCCGTGATCCAGAAGAGTAGCTATTCTGCATGCTGGCATTTTTCATAGCATTTCCATAAATTTTCATTTAAAAGTTTTATGGATCTTTCCATTAAATTTAAGAATAGGGAAAATTTTTCTGTAGCAACTGAAAGCACTGATCGCCTGGGATGGGTGGGGGTTGGAAAAGGCAGCTCGGGAACTTATCAGGGACATAAAATGTCTTTGTTTTCATCGGGGAAGGGGCTTTAGGGTGTGCCCACTTGCAGCAGTCATCACCTGGGTGCTTAAACTGTATGCAATTTTGACTGGGCATGGTGGCTTATACCTATAATCCCAGCACTTTGGGAGGCCAAGTTGGGTGGATCACCTGAGGTCAGGAGTTCGAGACCAGCCTGACCAACAAGATAAATAAATCCCTGTCTCTACTGAAAATACAAAAATTAGCCGGGCCCTGGTGGCAGGTGCCTGTAGTCCCAGCTACGCAGGAGGCTGAAACAGGAGAATTGCTTGAACCAGGAGGCGGAGGTTGCAGTGAGCCACTGCACTCCAGCCTGGGCAACACAGCGTGACTCCATCTCAAAAATATATATATATGCATTGTATTATATTTATATATAAAACCTATAACAGTAATTGTATTATTATAGTACTGTAATAATTATACTGTGGAATAATATAATTATTATATTATATAATAACTATAGTATAATATACAATATAGTACTCTTCTGTATAGTACTATAATTATTGTATTATTATAGTTATAGTAATTATAACATATATATAATAAAACGAAACAATAAAAATAAAACACATGTTATTAAAAGGAAAGACAGTTTTTAAGAAAAAGAAGAATATGGCTTAGGAAGTCAGTCAGGGCTGTTTTCCTATTCCCAATTCCCCATATTTGAATTTCAAGCCTTGAAGCCACATGCTTTTTACAGAGCTCTCAAAAAACAAGTATTTACATTTGGTCTCAGCGTGTACCATAGGGTCACATTTCAGTATGGATATATCTGCATTTGGAGATTCACATTTCGAAGAAGACCAAAATACATGAGACAGAGCATGCTCCTGAATTGGAAGATAGTATAGTAGAGATGCCAGTTCTTCTCAGATTCATCTCTAGACTTTAGACAATTTAAATAGAAATCCCAGCAGGATATTTTGTAGATTTAGACAAGCCACTTTTACAGTTCATGTAGTAAGTCAAAGAAACTAGATGAGCTGGAACAAGTTTGGAAAAGAAAAAAGTTGGAGGATTCATATTAACCTGACTTCAAGACTTGTTATGAAGCCACAAAGCAGTGTGGAATTCGGGAAGAGAGAAACACATAGATGAATGGAATAAGAATAGAGTCTAGAAATAGACCCACACTTATGTGGCCAGTGGGTTTTAGACAAGGGTACAGAAACAGTTCAGTGGAGAAAGGACAGCCTTTTCAACAAATGGTTTTGGAGCACTTGACATCCATATGCCAAAATAAGAACCTTAACATAAACCTTATTTTAAAAATTAGCTTAAAGTGCATCATAGATCTAAATACAAAATTTAAAAAAAAACAAGACTTTTAGGGAAAAAAAATATAAGGGAAAACTTTGTAACCTTGGGTTAAGAAAAGAGTTTTTAGATATGACACCAAAAACATGTTCTATAAAAGAACAAGTTGGGCCAGGCACGGTGGCTCACGCCTGTAATCCCAGAACTTTGGGAGGCCAAGGCGGGCAAATCATCTGAGGTCAGGAGTTCAAGACCAGCCTGACCAACATGGAGAAACCCTGTCTCTATTAAAAATACAAAATTAGCTGAGTGTGGTGGCTCATGCCTGTAATCCCAGTTACTTGGGAGGCTGAGGCAGGAGAATTGCTTGAACCCGGGAGGCGGAGGTTACAGTGAGGCAAGATCATGCCATTGCACTCCACCCTGGGCAACAAGAGCGAAACTCCATCTCAAAAAAAAAAAGGGAAAAAAGGACAAATTGATAAATTGTACATCATCAAAATTTGAAATTATTGGTCTGTGAGAAGCACTGTGAACAGAATGGGAGAAAATGTTTGCAAATCCCGTACCTACAAAGGACTTGCATTCAAAAAATAAAAAGAAATTTTAGAAAACAAATAACTCAATTAAAAAATGAGCAAAATAGACCCAGCACAGTGGCACACACCTGTAATCCTAGCACTTTGGGAGGCCGAGGCAGGCGGATCACAAGGTCAGGAGATCGAGACCATCTTGGCCAACATGGTGAAACCCCGTCTCTACTAAAAATACAAAAATTAGCTGGGCGTGGTGGTGCATGCCTGTAATCCCAGCTATTCAGGAGACTGAGCCAGGAGAATCGCTTGAACCAGGGAATCAGAGGTTGCAGTGATCCCAGATCACGCCACAGCACTCCAGCCTGGTGACAGAGCAAGACTCTGTCTCAAAAAAAAATGCAAAATAGGCCGGGCTTGGTGGCTCATGCCTGTAATCCCAGCACTTTGGGAGGCCGAAGCAGGCGGATCACAAGGTCAGGATTTTGAGACAAGCCTGGCCAACATGGTGAAACTCCATCTCTACTAAATATACAAAACTAATTGGATATGGTGGCGGGCGCCTCTAATCCTAGCTACTCAGGAGGCTGAGGCAGGGGAATCACTTGAACCTGGGAGGTGGAGGTTGCAGTGAGCCGAGATCATGCCAGTGCACTCCAGTGCACTCCAGCCTGGGCAAAGAGAGTGAAACTCCATCTCAAAAAAAAAAAAAAAAAGCAAAATATTTGAATAGACACTTCACCAAAGAAGATAGATGGGACCAGACACGGTGGCTCACGCCTGTAATCCCAGCACTTTGGGAGGCTGAGGCGGGCAGTTCAGGAGGTCGAGAGATCAAGACCATCCTGGCCAACATGGTGAAACCCCGTCTCTACTAAAAATACAAAAATTAGCCGGGTGTGGTGGCGGGCACCTATAGTCCCAGCTACTCAGGAGGCTGAGGCAGGAGAATCTCTTGAACCCGGGAGGCAGAGGTTACAGTGAGCCAAGACTACGCCACTACACTCCAGCCTGGTGACAGAGTGAGACTCTGTCTCAAAAAAAAAAGATAGATGGATAGCAGATGAGTCCATGAAAAGGTGCTCAACATCACTGGTCATCGGGAAGTACAAATTCACATCACAGCAAGGTACTACTACCACCTACTTGAACGGCTTTTTAAAAATACTGACAGTAAAGGCCAGGTGTGGTGGCTCACACCTATAATCCCAGCACTTTGGGAGGCCGAGGCAGGCAGATCACAAGGTCAGGAAATCGAGACCATCCTGGCTAACGTGGTGAAACCCCGTCTCTACTAAAAATACAAAAAAATTAGTCGGGCATGGTGGCAGGCGCCTGTAGTCCCGGTTACTGGGGAGGCTGAGTCATGAGAATGGCGTGAACCCGGGGGATGGAGCTTGCAGTGAGCCGAGATCAAGATTCCGAGAAAGAGAGAAAGAGAGAGAGAGAGAAAGAGAGAAAGAAAAAGATAGAGAGAGAGAGAGAAAGAAACTGACAGTATTAAATGCTGTCAGTATTTACAAGAATGAAGAGCAACTGGAACCTTGTACATTGCTGGTGAGAATGTCAAATGGTACAGGGAAACTGTTTGTCAACTTCTTATATGGCTAATACTTGCCATAAATATACTCTTAACCACTCCTAGATATTTCCCTAGAAAAATGAAAGCTTAAATTCACACAGAAATCTGCACATGAATGTTTATAGCACCTTTATATGCAGTCTCCAAAAACCCACATTATTCACAGAATAAATAAATTGTGGTGCCTTTGAACATTTGAATACTACTCAGCAATTAAAAGGAACACATTACTGATCCATGTAACAACATGGATGGATTTCAAAGGCATTATGCTGAGTAGAAAAAGCCAGTCTAAAAAATCACATATTTTATTATTTATTTATGTGACTTTCTGAAAAAGGCAATTTTTCAGAAATTGAAGTTTCTTATTCTGAGGTTTAAGAAACAGAAGGCCAGTCTAGGTGGCTATAGATTTACAGAACATTAGCGCTGGAGGGAACTGTGGTATTCGGAGCTAATCCTTTTTGTTGTTGTTTTT